GGTCCCGGAGTGGTGCGACAGCCTTAAGAATGAACAAAGTGTTTTCGAGAACCAATAACGTCCTCGCAGAAAAATCGGACGTCATGCATCGATGGAGTGAATTTTATAGAGAAATGTATGTGTGTGCCATGATCTTAGTGAAGGACCCGGGGGTGACGCCATGACTGGCACGCCAGACACGGACCTCGATGACACTGAGGTCATCAGCATGAAAGAGATTGAACGTGCGATTCGAAGTTTGAAATGTGGTAAGGCTGCGGGACTAGACAGAGTTACTGCTGAAATGGTCAAGTACGGTGGGCCTCGCGTCTGGGACAGCTTCCGTCTGCTGTGCAATTTGCGCTGGCGGACGGGAGTTGTCCCGGATGATTGGCGATCCGCGGTCATTGTGCCTTTATATAAAGGTAAAGGTTCACATTTTGACTGCGGGTGCTATCGGGCGATCAGCTTGACCAGTTTAGCAAGTAAAGTTTACTCGAAGGTTTTGACACATAGGATGCAAGAGAAATCGGGAAGATTCTTATGGGAGGCACAATGCGGATTTAGACCTGGAAGAGGATGCGCTGATCAAATGTTTTCTCTCCGCACGATCACGGAAAAGCTTCTGAGTGTTAACCAGAGGATTTTCTGTGCTTTTGTGGATCTGGAGAAAGCATTTGATAAGGTTGTAAGGAAGAAAATGTGGGAACTGTTGCCGGGATATGGTGTGGATGGTCGATTGTTAGTGCTGTGCAGTCACTTTACTATGACTGTAAAGCCTGTGTGCGGGTAGGGCATGACCTGTCACCCATGTTTAGCGTCCAAGCGGGCGTAAAACAGGGTTGTGTCATGTCTTCGTGGCTGTTCATACTGTATCTCGACAGCTGTTTACAGAAGCTGAAAAATAGCTGTTTGGGTGTGAAATTGGGTGACATTAAAGTAAATTGTCTGCTGTATGCTGATGATGCAGTGCTTATTGCACCATCAGAAGCAGAACTGCAGGCGTTAGTCACGTGTATGAAAGAGGAATGTGAAATTAAAGGTCTCCGTTTGAATGCTAATAAAACTAAGGTTCTGGTATTTGAAAAGGACGAAGAGAGAACGAAATGTGAAATATGGGTAAATCAGGAATGTCTAGAACAGGTAAATGAAATTGTATACTTGGGGAGTGCTTTCAGCCGGTTTTAATGTGGATAGGCGTGTCGCTGCCGGAAACAAAGTCAATGGTACCCTGAATGCATTAGTAAAAAGGCAAGGCGTGGTGAAGAGTGCACGCCTTGCAATACATAACGCAGTGTTGGTACCGACTTTGTTATATGGCAGCGAAACCTGGGTATGTCAGAAGAAGCATAAAAGCAAGTTGAATGCAGTGGAGATGCGATCTCTTCGTAAAATGTGTGGCGTTACCATAGCCGATCGAAAGCGAAACGAAGGGATTCGCAATATGGCAGGATTGAAAGATGACCTTATCACAAAAATTGATAGGGGCGTACTCCAATGGTTTGGGCACGTTGAGCGAATGAGTGAAGACCGAATGGTGAAGAAAATATATAGAGCGAAAGTAAATATTAAAAGGTGTCGAGGTAGACCGAGACTAACTTTCAAAGACCATGTGAGCAAATTGCTCGAAGAGGGGAAGGTCAAGAGTACCCGGATACCTAGACGTGCATGTATGAAGAAGTTAATGAACCTGAAAGAAGCGAAAGAGTAAGTAAGGATCGTGACACTTGGCGATCTGTTTTCTCTGGCTACCCCGTTAGGGATTGTGCGTGAAGAAACTAATACAAACAATTAACTGTATAGTTTATGCTGAGTTTGATAATATTATTGAGATAGATAAAAACAGAAATGTTACTGTAGACTATAGTAGTTAGGGTTTATAATATGTGTTGTGTGTTAGATTTTATGTGTTATGTGTAATGCATTTTGTGTGTACGTAACTATGTGAAACGTTATAAAATTAAATAAAACAAATTGTATGAAATATATTATTTTTTATTTCTTTATAAATCTTCTATTTAATCTAATACAAAACACTGTTCGAGTTTAAAGTTACATCGGACTCTCTCATTAGATAATCAATAATAACGAGATGTGGGTTTTCACCATCAAACATATTAAGATTTGGAATTCCTTGATGATAGTTAACATTTGGTAAATTATATAAAGGTTGCATTTCATCAAAGCACCATTTGATCTGATTAAAATCACATTTACATTTTTCTGTAACTGATTTTATGAAATTTGTTACAAAATTTGACTTCCCACATCCACTTGGTTCCGCCACAATAGCAGTAAACGGATGTATAAAGTGAAACATTACACACGTCTAAAGTTCTAAGGGGTGAAATAAAAAATGAAAGTGTTGGTGTAAACAATTAATATATATTGTGTACTGTAACTAATGTTTTTGGGAAATCAAACAAAATTTATGATTAATTTAAAATTTTATTTTCAAGCAATAACCACTTGTAAAAAACCCACACTTCGCCACAAGAACAGTGTAAAATTCTGTGATTATTTTTTTGCAAATATATGATTATTACACACATAACGTTTGTTTAAATTTATGACATTTACCAAATCATTGCATTTTGGACATTTGTATTCTTCAATATTAAAAATTCTATCATTCGTCGTCAACATTTTTAAAAATTGTTTCTCTGTTGAACCACCTTTGTATGCGATACTTCGTTTTGCAAAATTTCTAATATACCAATTTAATATGGGGATGATGTTCTCTTGTTTGTAGGCACATTTTAATTCCTCGGTCACATCAAAATATGGAATGCCGTGCACGTGTGTTTCACAATAACGAACGGTTTTTTTGTCTTTTGGCGACAAATAATTGAAAGGATAACTTGGCCGAAACAAATAATGATCGATAAACGCATCATTTTTGTTAGATAGTTTTTCGTCTTGAATAGCCATTTCTCTACATTGAAAATGTTTATGAGGATATGTAATGTAAAATCCGTCCATGTCGATGATGTATCTAATATTTTTTATATTTTGTGTCATTTTGAACCAAAATGTTAAAAGTATTTACACGTGACTAAAAATATGTTTGTTCCAACAAACTTCACATAACAATGCTTCATTACTTCCCATTATCCCATTTCTTCCTTCTGCTCTTGTCTTCCTGTAATTTAAGTAAACAGAATCACATTCACTAATGATCAACTAATGACTGTTATTGTTAAAAAAATATTTTTTAACTACTCTAGTATTCGTAGATGCGGTACACACACAATATTTAAATATAATTTGTTAATACTAAATCAAACACATGTAAGAAAATACCAGAAAGAAAAGTAAGTTTGTCAATAGAATAAACACTTATATCCTTGGCCTTTGATGCGTTGAAGTAACACAAATGTAGTATTGATAGATCCACTGCGGTCAAACGACCATACACTAACTCCATGACTGCACTTGCTTGGTCTTATATAGTACCAGTAAGTAATAGTTCTAATCTAAAGAATTTCTGCAGTGGAATTGATAGTAACTTTATGCGTCAACAAGCTTATCTCACATTCAGTTACTTATCTCAGCATTACTTAGTGTTGCGTCTTGTTCAGTGTATTGATGACTCAAATACATTTTGTATAACACAAAATAATGCAATTTAATATTTAGAAATCACTATAATTGATCATTCCTATGTTAGTCATTGAGTAGATTGTACTGTAATAATCTTCTAATAGCAGTAATATCATGGATACACTAGATGTACAACAACGCCTGAAAAAGATTCACCCCAGTCTAGAAAATGACTGGGGAATACAGGGAATGTTTATGCTGCCAATAGACTGCCCATGTACACCCACGTACCAACGTATATAATATGCAATTTGGATACAGATGATAAACCAGGGTCACATTGGGTAGCTTTATATATCGATACGAATGACCTTGGTCAATATTTTGATTCATATGGACGAGCACCTGTACGATATCATCTAGAATTTTTAAAAAGAAATTGTAAAAGATGGAACTGGAATATATGGATATAATTGATAGGATTCAGAATGAGTGGACTTCAGTTTGTGGCGAATATTGCTTAATGTATTTGCTATATAAGTTTCAGGGATGATGCATAGTTTTACGAGTATATTTACAGGGAACACATTGTACAACGATATTTTGGTGGGTGAGATGTTTCGCTCCTATTTTATAGATAATAAGTAATAAGATTTTGTATTTCGTAAATAAAAATTGTAACAAAATTAGGTAATGTATTTTATTGATGATTCAGATTAGCGTTGTAGATAGGAACAAAGGAGTATAATACAATAGCACTGATAATCCGACGCACACGCTGAGGAAGAATAGATAATGACGGTAGATAAATGATCAATGGAGTGCTAATGACGGTGGAGGCCCTCACCGGATATCAATTAGATAAGAGTTAATTGATCTGCACATCTCCGGAACCGCGAAACTACGCAAAAATGGACCGCGGATTCGTGATCAGAGCATGCCAAAACCTTTTTTTTTTAGGATCGTGAGTCGACGAACGTTGTACTTGTACCACTTCCGACTGACTCTGTAAATATAGCAGAACGCGAGTAACTCGGGTTCGACCCCCGCCGGCACCAATGAAATTGTTATTTGCAATTTTAAGTGCTGATTTACCACGTGCTTGGCGGTGAAGGAAAACATCGTGAGGAAACCAGCATGTCTGAGGAATAGGGGAAAAAATATTTCGAAGACATGTAAAGGTCACCAACACGCGGGGTAGCGCGGCGGACACTTCCTTGCCCTAAAACCCTCTCAGAAATGAGCGCAGGCCTGTGCCCAGGAGTGAGACGTATATAGGCTGTTACTTCAACTTTACCTTAATAGGACAGTTATAATATTGGAACACTAGTTATCTAAACAATGCTAAAACAAAAGGCGGAGCTTAAGGAATTCTATGAATTAATCACCTTTATGACCTCCACGAGATGAAATAAAATAGATTCTCTTATGCCGCCATGCAAAACAAAATGTTTTTTGATTTTTAACGCTGTGTCTAGGATGACGAGGACTTGGATCCGGAAGATGTGGAGTTGGACGAGCATTATACATTAGAGACGAGGAGCAAATGTGAGAGGACCAAGTCGTCCATTAATGTGTCGTGCTTGGGGTGTTTTAGACGTGTCTGTCCGTAACCTATGGATTTGGGATGTGACAGATTTAGGCAGATTTGAATTCCTTTACAACTATATAAACCAATCTCTGGAGATAGTAAATACTGTGTTATATTTTCAAAAACTGACAAATCCCAATCCAAATTATGTGTACAACGATAAACATTTTGTTTTAACTTGTTTTTGTTTTATTTTCTAGGTTGCATGATTTGTATCATAACATACATCTGAAACTGATCTCAATTTCCTTGATTACTAAAATCTATTTTGACCGTGTAAGCATTTAGTTTGCGACATAAATTATTTATGTATTTAATCTAGCCAAATGGTTGCACAATTTTTTCTATTTAATTCTATATTTTTGTTGTATTGGTACTTCGAGCCGGATACAATATTTTTATATTAAAATGTTTTATAATGCATGATATTGTACCACGTTTTCACACTTTCGGATACGCAGTAAACACAAATTTAAAACTCAGATGTAAAAACGTGTATTATTTAACTGTTCGTTGAAGTCCAGTTTTGGAAGTATTCGTTCACATAGACGTTATTTAAAACAGGCTATCTGGTAAACTTGTTGCGGTAATGTGGATGAGCTGATATATCCCCTATATTAGAAGGGCGTACTTGTTAATGTAACACGAGAAATTATTTTCCACTATCTTTTTTTTTTAAATAATATTAACAATACTATAAACATTACTAATATTCCCCTTAACCACTCGTGGTAAGCTTAAATTGCCTGTGTTACGAGTGGTTCACGCCAGTAGTCGAATGGCGGATTCGAACCCACGACCTTTTTGAGTTCGCGGTCCGTGCCCTGCCATTAGGCTACTGTTGCTTATGACTACTATCTCTACTATACTTATGTATACTATCTCATGTTCACTTAACGTGTCAAGTTTACCTTGGTCTCTCTCACCCACCATCGCATGTTAAATGTGTTATGTCCGCTTGCATGTATGCGTGTAGACCAGCGACGATCTAGACACCGATACTGAGTTCGAACCCGTCGAGGATATGACCATGGAAACGAGGAGCAGATGTAAGTATGCTGAAAATATCCTCAAGTATCAGTCAATTGCTTAGAAACGCTATGTGGATAATCGTGGATAATCGTATACTGTTTGAAAATGTATATACTGGATGACCTTTTCTACTGTCTGGAAAAAATAGGGTGTAATATGTGAACGGAGTAGAAGCATATAATAGCAATGATATTCTACAAAAAATAAAAACAAAAATTTAGAATTTAATTAGTAAATTAATTAATATCTATCGAAATTCAAATCATATTTGCACAACTCTGAAACATTTAGTTGTTTTTGTGTGTTTAGTCTTAAGTCATTCTCGAGTTGATATTTAGTTTGAGATTAGAATTTTTGCGTAGTTTTTTACCTTTTGCAACTTAACCTTATTCAAGAGCGTATTCCTTCAGGCAATCTCACGTATCCCTAGGGGACGTTGATACCTATTACCATATGGTTTCAATCAATTACTTTTCTACCCTCAATTACCATCTCTCAATTATTCAATTATCAATCTTCTCAATTGTCATGTTGTATAAATTCTGTTCTTAATAATCATTCTGAAACTTCTCTTGTCTTTGTTTTGCAGTCTCTTTTTCTTGTTTTTTTTTTATTTTACTCTAATCTTCTTTCCTAAATTATTATTTCCCTCTTATAGCTGTTTAAACATTAAAACTAATTTAACTGATTTTGTCGCGTTAAATTTATTTTATAATCATATTTAATCAAGTAAACGCGATAAAAATTCTTTATTTATTTCACTTAGATACTTTTTCACCCACTTTCTGTTTCATCGTGCTCGTGTCTATGGTTTCTTGTAATTCTTTTAATTGTTCTTCGATGAATTGATCTAATTCTGTCTTTACTATTAAAATACATTTTCTAACATTTTAGGAATTCCGAGCTACAGTTTATATATGTATTAGTTGTTTGGATTTTGCATTTTAAGATTTCATGATCATTCATATAGGTGTATTAATAACACTGGGAAATTCATTCATCTTTTTTAACTGTAATATTTGTGTATTTCTGTTTTTACTTATTTTGTTTATGCATGTATTTACATTTAATGTATAATAAGTTTATAGAAAATTATTGAGGTGGGTGTGATCAGCATGACATGATAATTTCATTTCTACGTTCTTTTTATACGTGATAGAGCCATGCCGCAGTTATATTATTAGTATAGTTGTAGCACGAATGGGTCGGCTCGACCGGGGAAGGACCACGCTCTCACAGAATACCAGCGTGAAATAGCAGCTTAATGCTGCTGTGTTTCGTATGGTGAGTGTAGAGAACCGGAGATCCTTTTTACTGAAAACGAGGCATTCCTTCTTAGTCCTCACGTCGAGGATAGATATAGATGTCTATGGGCCGCAGCAACCACTTACCATCAGGTGGACTGTGTGCTCGTTTGTCACCCAATTCTATAAAAAAAAAATTAAAAAAGTCATTCACGTAAGTCGATCTTGTAGTCGTTGGTTAGTCAATTAAAATTACGACATAAGTAGAAAGTTATTTATTTTTTTATTATTTCTACAGCGAGTGCCCACACTGGCGAACATGGCGTCGACGAATATCCGGATATTAGTGGCATTACTAACGCCAGGGTGAGTGATTTATTACCACAGTTATCACATTATATCATGGTAGTTACCACAGCATATCACTATGTATCATGACATGTCATAACCTATCACGAAATATTACAAACGGGTTTACGTTTGTTGTATATTAATTATTATAAAACCGTGCTATCGATCTCGTAAAACAGGAAGCTATGCGGAAGATGACAGAGGAGGATAAACGCAAGATCCTGCAGCAAGTGGAGCTGTTCCGCAGGGAGAAGATGACCTTCGACAACGAGGTGGCCAAATGGGACGACGCAGGGAACGACATTATCATGCTGGCCAAGCACATGTGCATGATCATGTTGGAGATGACGGACTTTACGAGGTAAGTACTTGCCGGTGCTGTTGTGAAATAGTTTGACGGAAATACTTTTATTTAATAGGAAAGGGGTCAAACGAGCATACGGTTCACCGGATGTTAAGTGAGTACGGCGTTGCCGGCCTTTTAGAAAGTACTAAGCTCTTTTCTTGAAGGTCCCTAGGTCGTATAGTTTCTTTTTGTATGAAGAGTGGGTCCACCACAACTAACTTACGTAACTTAATGAAATGCATGTCGATTTATTCCTTATAATTTCTAGATTATTTTACGCTGGTATTCTGTCAGAGCGTGGTCCTTCCCCGGTCGAGCCGACCCATTCGTTCTACAACTATACCAATAATATAGTTGCAGTATAGCTCTACCTCGTTAACACATTTTTACTTCAGTCGTCTCTTACTAGATCCTCGGAAGTGAATGTGGTGATAGTTTGAAAACTTGGTAGCTCAGGGTACGTCAGTCGAAACATAAGCAACTAAAGTTCGACTCAAGTCGTTGTCAATGAGGGCTTCTACAACTCATTCTGGCACCAGGTCGGCGCCATTTTCTATTGAGGTGAAATATTTGTCAGATTTCATAGAGGGAAAGGCGGATTGTTAAAAAATATAAAGTTAAATGTTTCTTTCTGAAATATTAGTTACATTTTATATTAATTAGTTAAGAAATAAATAAACCAAACCACAAAAATATTCGTAAAAGTAAAATAATTAAAAATGTGTTTTCTACGTGGTAGAACCACGCTGTAGCTATATTATGAGTACGGTTGTAGCACGAATGGGTCAGCTCGACCGGAGAAGGACCACGCTCTCACAGAATACCAGCGTAAAATAGTAGCTTAATGCTGCTGTGTATCGCATGGTGATTGTAGAAAACTGGAGACCCTTTTTACTGGAAGCGAGGCATTCCATCTTAGTCCTCATGGGTGACAACGCATCTGCTTTTTGATTCGTTATCGAGGATAGATATAGATGTCTATGGGTCACAGCATCCACTTACCATCAGGTGGACTGTGTGCTCGTTTGTCACCCTTATTCTATAAAAAAAAGTGCAAAAAATTGTGTTGTGTGTTTAAGTACATTCACAAGAAACTAAAAAACTTTATTTTGAATCGCAAGTGATATTGTGTAGCAATAATACCTAAGTCGCAATTAGCGACATCTAGTGTGAGGTAAATTATAAGCTCATTGTAATTTTAATGTGCTGTCTAAAATAATCTGTTTGTTGGATTTCATAGAGGCCGTGGACCTCTGAAGACGACCATGGACGTCATCAATGCAGCCAAAAAGATTTCTGAGGCCGGCACCAAGTTGGACAAGCTGACCCGTGAGATTGCTGAGCAGGTGAGACTTTTCTGGACTTCCTTGTAGAACTAAAACTATACACATTTTTTTTAAACTCTCTTCTCACTAGGATTTTCTAATTACTTTTCTAGGACACGCAAATCTAGACTCGAACCAATTATTATTAGGCCTTATAAATACTTGTACCTTGCGGGAAAAGCCTTTGGCTTTATGGTAGCGACATTTTTGTTATTATAGTTGTAGCTTGAATAGCCCATCTTGACCGGAAAGGACTACTAAATGCTGCTATGTTATATACCGAGCACTCTTTTTACCGGTAACAAGGAATTCCATTGTTCTAGTGTACGCATCTGCGTTTTGATTCTTAAGGTCGCTGCATACGTAACGTGTTTTATACCGGATGGAGCGGGACGTGAAATTTTGGATATATCGTTTCATAGAAAATGTACGTGATAATGCATACGTTACGGATGCACGGACGGGACGGGGATGTGGCGTGAACGGGACGGGGTAAACATCGTCGGCGACGATGTTTACCCCGTCCCGTCCGCCGCTTGCCACGCCCCGTCCGTGGTTCCGCTGCGTATGCACAGTCGCTCCGTTGGCTCCGCAGTGATGCGCGTGTTGTACTAAACAACATGGACGACGAAAAACTAATTGAATGTTTGTATAATCGTGCACACCCAAAGTATTTGGACACAAAATATAAAAAAATTCTGTGGCGGAAAATTGAAATTGAAAGAAAGAAAGAAAGAAAAGTTTATTTGGTACATACATTATAACAAAAAGAATAAAAATAAAACATTTTTTTTAATATCTTATCAAAAATATTTAAAAAAGGAATAACAAAATATGCACCAAAATGGTCTCCACTCAGCTTTAAGTCACGAATTGAAGATATAAATACAACAATTCGTAACGCTGATTTTCAGTGGAGCCAGGAGTGTGAGGCAGATAACAAGTAACAGCAAGAGTTAAAATGATCTAAATATAAATATAAAATAAAATCAGAAAAAAACTGTCAAAATTCCACGTGTCAGTGCAACTTTGATAGTGTAAAGATGGACGAACGGTGGTATGCGTACAGAAAAAATAAAATGAATTGTGTATGTGTATGTGTGCATGCATGTTTGAGTGTGTGAGTTCGTTCGTATGTGCATGTACGGTACTAGCATTGAGATTGAATCATACCATTTATGCCTATTTGCTGGATTTTTGTACGGAAATCAGAAACTTTTTTTAATAAAGTTTTAAAAGTGGCAACAGTTTTACTACTTCTGATCGGTGGTGGTATATCATTCCAGCACTTCGTGGCAGCAAAACGGAAACTACCACGGAAGGCAGCTGTGTGATGCTTAGGGTATGTGTAAATTGAATTATGACTCACTGCAAACGGTTAGTATAAATATTATTTGTCGTTTATGGTTGTCATAGTTTTACAACCATAAACAATGTGATGTGGTGACAATAAAAGTTGAACTTATTTTTGTTAAAATCAAAAGACAGGTACGTAAATAAAGTAGACTCATGTTTTACAATGTCGATATTTATTACATCAGTAAAATTAAATACAACAGAATTCAAGTAAATCTAAAAAAGATGTAATCAACTTTTTGACAGAGTATTGGTTAAAATGTGATTGCAGAGCGTTTACGGATAAGGGTGTTAGTATTCAGGCATGATAAAAATGCCGATTGAGAATTGAAAAAAAAATTGTAGAGAAATAGCAATAAATGCCAATTCTTCAAATGAAAAATCAATCTTTCACAACACTAACACGTTAGTTTCGTATTACTGTCGCGGTGCGTCTGCATTAAACTCCCGTCCGTGTTGACAAACAACCACGTCCCGTCTCCGTCCCGTGCACGTTATGATTCCGTCCTGTATGCAGCGACCTTTAATCGAGGATATAAAATATGTAGATTTATATGGTACGTTAATTTTTAGGTTATTTTTACAGGTTGTACGCACACATGCACACGCAAAGAGAAACGGACACACGCCAAAATATGGCCCAAACTTTGTTCCCTATGAGGCAATCTTTGGGGGAGGCCTATGTTCAGCAGTGGACTATTATAATATGTTGTTTGCTTTTTTCTGTATTTTCATAGGCTGATGATGAAGACATGTTACCATTTAACTTATCATCACTTCTATTTGTATACAAAATTGTTTCGTTGCCAGTGCCCGGAGTCGTCTACGAAGCAGGACCTGCTTGCGTACTTGCAGCGCATCGCCCTCTACTGCCATCAGATACAGATAACCAGCAAAGTGAAGGCCGACGTGCAGAACATCTCCGGCGAGCTCATCGTCAGTGGGGTAAGTTATAAGTTATAAGTCACTCTTCATCTGGGAGGGGGGAGCACTCAGCTATAGAATTGTGCTGGGCTGACTAGCTTTTGGTCATCGCATACATCGTTTGTTAACTCGACTTGCGAAGAACCACGTGCTCAAAGAATACTATCGTAAAATAGCAGCTTAATGCTACTGCGTTTCGTATGCGAGTGAAGAGAACCGGTGACACTTTTTTACTGGTAACGAGGTATTGCATCTTAGTCCTTGAGATTGAGAACGTATCTGCATGTTGATTCTTAATCGAGGATAGATGTGGGTATTTATGGACCACAGCATCCACTTACAATAAATTGCACTGTGTCACGGTAATTTTATCTATACAGTATTCCAACTTCATACAAACGGACGAAGCGAGAGCTATGCCTACGCGCCTCGATCTCGGCATGCGCTCGGCATGCAGACAGTCCAGACTGTGCCGCAGTGATGGTTTTGTGAAATATATAAAAAAAATGGAGGAAATAAATAATAGAATAAAAATAAAGAAATAATAAATCCGAACTTTATTTAAAACCAAACATAAATTGTAAAGTAGCTGTAGGTAGCTAGTAGAGTAGTAGTAGAGAGTAACCAAGTAAAAGATATTCCTTTTCTCCACCTTATCCATATTTCCCATAACAATTTTTAATTAAGCTTTATATTAGAAAGCGGATTTTTTAAATTTAAAAATTTAATAATAAAGCATTTCGTAAGTCTCAACCGAGGCGCAAATATTTTTTGGTCGCAAATTTATAACACCGATTTGTTATTCAAACATAAACATGGTTTTTTAATTAAATCTACCAATCAAAAAACGACACGCATTGTTATTGAACACTTCCTATTCAATTCACAAAGTACCTATTTTTTTTTATTGAAACAGACTACAGCTTGTACATTTACCAATATATATAAACAAGTTTTGAACATATTATGTAATATAGAAGCCTTTATAGATTTAAATTTTTTTATATTTGTTTATATAAAAAAGATATATTTACAATCATAAAACTAAATGGAAACACAAAGTAGGCAAATGTAATTAATGCTGGAGGCAGGCAGCCCTATCGCATGTTTACCCGCGCGGCTGTAGGCATTTATTTGAAAGATACGGCCGAGTTACAATACTGTATAGATAATATTACCGTGACTGTGTGCTAGTTTATCAACCTTAGTTATAAAAAATCCATCTTAATCTCCGTGGGACTCGTGCCCAACAGTGGGATGTATAGTGCGTTACTTTACTCGTTTTCGTTGCATTTCAGCTTGACAGCGCTACTTCTTTAATCCAAGCTGCGAAAAACCTGATGAACGCGGTCGTGCTGACGGTGAAGGCTTCCTACGTGGCCTCCACCAAGTACACGCGCCAGGGAACCATCGCTGTGAGTATACATACAGTTGTATAGACTAGTCCTGTGTCGATCGCGATTGATTGAATCTTTTTCCGATTTTGACCCGATGTCAAGGTGACAAGACAAACGAAATTCTAATTTTTTTCTCATTTTTTACATACATATAATCGATCGAATCGTGCAATCAATCAGACAACGATGTAATAATCAAAATGTCTTCAGTCTTCTTCATTTACATACAATTCAATCAATAAACAAGTCGTAGTATTATTACTACGGTTATACAAACTATACATACGAGCTGCGACCCAAATGATCGAAATGATCGAATCCTTTTAACCCGATCACCATACGTGTGGGTCATTATCGACCCAGTTCACGAGAAATGATTGATCGGCACAGTTCTAGTATAGACGAGTGGTTTAAGGGTAATCGAGGGTAGATGGTGAAATGAATGGCTTTGGAGTTATGTAGAATAGTACGTCTCACTCCTGGGCACAGGTCAAAGACTTCTTTGTATACTACTTAGACGGACTCTGCGGCCTTAATACATACACTGCGCACTAAGTTACGTTCGTATACTTACAGTTGTATAGACGAGTGGTTTAAGGGTAATTGAGGGGTGATAATACACTGTGTATACATAGAAGTCTTTGGCACAAATATCCTTTATTACCTGAGGATTTCAGAACAAGGTAATGACCACCGCACTGCCGAAGTTCGTGGAAATATTTTTTTAATATTTCGAGACATGTCGGTTTCCTCACGATGTTTTCTTCTCCGTGAAGCACGTGAAAATCGGCACTTAAAATTACAATTGACAGTTTCACTGGTGTCAACGGATCGAATTAGGAGTGAAGTCTGAATTTTTCCAAACTACCCTCCGTTTGAATTTGCGGGTAGTTTTGAAAAACTGATACCTTCCACATTTGGATGCTCTTTTGCATCGTAGTTTAATATATAATAGACATTCAGGTCGTGGGAGCGCAGATGGTTAGCGCTCGTTGTAAAGTTAACATTACGCGAGCAACCCGAGTTCGATTTCCGCCGGCACCAATTAAATTGTTAATTGCAATTTTAAGTGCTGATACACAGTGGTGAAGGATGTGATGATACCTGAATGTCTGAGAAATAAAATAAAAAACATTATATTTCGAAGACATGTGAAGTTCGCCAACACGCATTGCCCTGCCCTAAAACTCTCAGAAATGAGCGGGGGGCCTGTGGCCAGAAGTGGGACGTATATAGGCTATAACTTTAACTTTTTAATTAGTCTCTGTACAATTATTTGTAGGCCGCAGGTATTCGAACCTACTATATGACTAACATTGTTCCAGCTATACGCTTATCCACTGCGCTACATCTGTCTAACTAATATATCAATATTAAATAACAAGCTTGAATTTTGCTTGGAGAAAGAAATATTTGATCGGCATTATATTAACCAATTGCGCTTTGAGACGCAAACTTTTGCTAACTTTGTGAATTACTTGCAGACAACCGCTATTAAGTGATAATGTTGCCAGTGCTTTAACAAGTTGAGCATATATTAAGTAATTATAAGGATGTAACGCTTAGATTCGCTTAATTTGAACGCAAAAAAATCTATTTATTAAGTTACACATTATGCGTATCTATATTTATACAGGATATCATTGATCTTGATTCGACATACCTAAATAATTATATAGATTTAATTAACTAAAAATCTCGTATATAACTAAAAAGTCTTTGACGTCTCGACAGTTAACCCGGCTTCAACCCGGGTTCGAGTTCCTGGATTCCGGGACGAGTTAACCCGTCTGCCAAACGTGGCAACTATGACAATCCCCCCTCCACCACATATGAGACATTCTGTGGCGGGAAGCCTATGGTTCAGCTGTGGACTTCAATAATGAATGGATGTACAGAAAATAATCTACCAGGAGCACATGACCCTCTGAGAGGTGAAATTACAAAAGCAATTGTAACATTCCAGTCAAAGGCTTTTGTTGAAAAATAATGTTGGCTAGCCCGCCTCTCAAGCGTGGTTACTATGTTTCCCCCTCCCCCACAAATGAGACAATCTATGTAGGCGGCCTATGTTCAGTAGTGGACTAAATAAGTGGACATAAGTTTTAAAGGTAACGGTAACACAAATGTGCCTATTACATAGGGTTAATTTAACACATCCCCCAAAGTTTGTCGATCGAGTTACATCCTCCCCTCCCATATATTTAAAATTGGATGAAACATAATGATACAACTTGTGTATGCTCATCTACGGGCTGGCGGGGCAGAACAACTACGTGAGTCTATAATATTGTTGTAGATGACTTTTCTCATAGAACCATAACGCATAGAACTAGTAAAGAGAAAATGTGAGGTATCAATTTATTGAGCGTATTTAAACGCACACACACACAAACACACACACACACACACACACACACACACACACACACACACACACACACACACGTACTTGCACATATGGCGTGAGAGAGAGACAGAGTTTGTGCGTGCATACTTTTGTGCGTGTGTGTGCGTGCGTGCGTGCGTGCGTGTGTACACACAGGCATAAAGCTGATAATTTTTGTTAGTATAACATCTTACTGGCTTAAAATTTCTTAATGGATGAAGATTCCTTTTTTCCTCACCATGTTTAAGGTTACTTGGTATCTGTGCGTTATGATTCTATAGGTGTCTATCGTTGTAGGATATCTGTTGCATGAGTATGGCAAAAATATTATTGTTAAATTATTTGCGTAAATCCAGGTGTAGTTCTTTATTTATTTCGACTATTTTTATTGACCGTCTTTCCTATTGAACCCTTTTAGGGTTATAATTAAAGTAAAAACCGATTTTACACAACTAAAAAATAGTAAATGATATCAACATAATAGCTTCTGAAGTCGGGGGCTTTAATACTTCCATACATTATTTCTGAGCAACCACTTCAGAAGCTATTACATGAACATTAATTAAGAGTTTATTTAAGACTTAAAAATTAAAATTACTTTTATTAAACGTTAATGTGTTTTAAATGTACTAAAAACAACTGCACCACTATTAAATACTTTTTATTATAAACTTAAAATACAATTTTGCATGTCTGTGGAATGCATTTTTTTTCATGTTTATTGGCACTGTGCTTTGCATGAGTATTGACCATATAAGAACTTGATGTTTTCCAACGTAAACATAAAAATTTTTGTCTTTTGTTAATTTTAAGTACGCTCAAAAATGTCTTATTTAAAATGGTCGACGCGGGATGTAAATATTATCCTCCAGACCGAATTTTAGTCAAGGCGGCCTGTCTTATACCAGTGCAGGACGGGATTATAGTGCCCGAGAGTAAGCGCAAGCACAGATGCACTCTGTATTACCTCACTCTCATAGTACCATGAGACGGTAATCCGATACGATGGGAGAGAGATCAGGCGCAGCGCCGGACGAACTGCATGACGTGCTTTTCGAGGCACGGGGGTGAAACACCACCAACTTTCTACTGAAAATTTCTTGACAACAAAACTCAATAATCGAGTGTAGCTATACCAGGGGCGTAAAATAGCTGAGCTGGGCGCAACTGGCTTTTGACGGAAACCACACGTCTTCGAAATATTTCTTTATATCTCAGATATGAAGGTTTAAGAGTGGTCAATCAGTAATTAAAATCACGATGAACACTCTTTAGTGTGGTGGGGTCGAAGTCTCTTATTCACGGTTTAATATTGGGTTTTCAACTTAAAAGATGTTTTTATGATAAAAAAATAGGGTAGAGAATAAGAGGAAAGCTTTGGCAAGAGCCTTTTCTGGACACTGTTGTCTTAGTAAGCACATGCCCATCCTGGGACTAAGCAACTCAAGGATGTGCCGGTTTTGTTCCTTTATGTAAGAAACGCCTCTACACATCCTAACTGATTGCGGACCTTAATGCGCAAGCGTAACACTCATCTGGGAAACTATGTACTCCGCCCGGAAGAATGAAATTGCTCACGGCTAAGCAACTCCTTCTATTCATTGAAGAAATTGGACTTAGCAGTGAACTATAGCCATAGCAGAGATCACAATAGATCTTATAGGTCGCAGTGATACTGGTCTCTTTACCTAGACCTGCATAGCTGCTCGCACATAAAAAAAGAAAAAATCTTTAGAAAATTAGATTGCAATCACTAGTGTTTTATATCTCTTTTTATCCATCTTCTCTCTCTTTTTCATAGCATATTTCTATTTTTTAATATAATAATATACAAGTATCCTTAGTCCATTAACAAATTATGACTGATTTGGTAAACTTTTGGCAATAAAAACTAAGTTATTTGTATTTTATATTATTAAATTATATTAGTTATGACATATTAATTCTACTGTTTATGAAAATTTTATATTATTTTGTGGACATAAGTATATACAGCATGTACCAAAAGTCCAAGGTACCAAGTGACAATCGGAAGCAGAATGTATGTATTTATCAGCAACAGCCTTTCTAAATACATTCCTGAATTAAAGCTTTTGTATGAATGTACTATTTGAAATATTATTGCTCCTTTCTATCAACGAACAGTATCAGTACGGTCGATATTTGTATGATTTATGCAAAATTTTCAATTTTTTTTTATTTAATTTAATTAATATAGTATTACTAATATTGTGAACTTTTTAAAGTGCTTCCAATTTTTAGCCTTACATAAATCAGGCCTCTATTCGTATTTTTGTTACACGCCGTATATTGTTAATATTAGTTAAATTATGTATTTCTACCTTCTTTTCTTTTTCATTATATCAAATTAATGTTTATTTTAAAATGATAAAAAATTAAATTATTATTATTTTTATTATTATGTTATAGTCTAGTTGGGATGCGTTAATTACTGGGAATGTTAGGTTGTGTAATTTTATAAATATCTATAAAATTACACAACCTATAGTATATATACCAAATAGAATACATTTAAGATAGTATAATGAAATAAATATATAAAAACCCCAAGCGTACGGAAATTCTCAGCAGGGATGATGCAATGTTCAAACAAAGATCAAACTGCTGAGGATTAGTAAAAGAGATAAAGGTTTATTATTATATTTATTTTTGGATTATTATTTATTATGTCGACATCATCATCAATGTCATTACAGTCTCAATAGTCTACTTTTAATAAAGTCGGATGCTGTACATATGATTCCCATACCACCTACATCCATCGCCTCATTGCATGTTTCGTCAACATGTAAATAGAGTGAAGACCTTGTAAGATATAGAAGTTGACGGAAGTACGTGGACCAGGGCTGTCTTTTATGGCATTCTTTTGGGGAGGTTTATGTGCAGTGGACTTGTGAGCCTGTAATGACGTAGATGACGATGATAATGGGTGCGTTTGGCAGAAAAAAGCACCAGGAAGTGCTTGTAAGCAGAATGGCGATCGTAAGGGGTAAGCGCTGTCAAATCGTAAGTAGCTATTTTCCTCTAGGACACGAAGTTAGTTTTAACCGGGGAACCTAACCTAATTTAAATATATGTTTGTAAAGTATTCATATCAAAAACTTACCAATCATGAATTTTAATAACATGTGTATGTTTATTCATGTCGTTATATTACTTAAAACTAATATAGCTCAAAACAACTTATAAACTCTACTTCAAAACAAACAAAATAAATAAGCAAAATGGCGGATTGTGTCAGCGCTACTGAAGTTAGCAAACGTGTCCTTGTCGAAAACTGTATAGTTTCGCCATTTTGTTTACAAGCGCTTGCTAGCGCTTTTTTCTGGCAAACGCACCCAATGACATTGCGTGGTGCGCAGTCGCCGATCGTGGTGTGGCGCATGAAGGCGCCGGAGAAGAAGCCGCTGATCCGTCCGGAGAAGCCGGAGGAGGTGCGCGCCAAGGTGCGCCGCGGCAGCCAGAAGAAGCAGCCCAGCCCCGTGCACGCGCTCGCAGAGTTCCAGAGCCCCGCCGAGAGCGTCTAGGTGAGACTGCACCCCACTCCCACAAACACATATACGCATACTTTACTGAACCCAGAGTTGCCGTTTCAAATCTGGTGCAATTTTAGGGTCTATAGCGCTTTTTTTAAAATATCTTATCACGTAGATATTTGAAAACCACTATAGACCCTAAAATTGCATCAGATCCGGCGCCGAATGCGCTGAAACGGCTACACTGCATGAACCTCCTAAAAAGTAACCTACATGACTACTTAAAATGTTTTCTGTGGTCGATGAAAATACTGTTACTGAAAGAAGACCAGAGAACCAAGAGTTATTCCTAGAATTAACACTGACTTGGATGGGTTATATATTTTTTGAATATAAAACTTTTCAAGTTACAACTGTCAAAGCACGTAAAAAAATATTTTATCTTACCTGTTTCTCCAAAAAGCTGTGCTAGCACTGCCGTCTTCCGGTTTAGAGGGGAAAGAGATCCAGTATAATTACAGTCCTCAGAGGTGACAATGCATCTGTAGCCGATGTCCATCTGCTGTAGTCACTTATCATCAGGTGGACTGTACCTTCCCCTGTAACAACCCCCCTCTCCACATATACACTTATACGCATACTATAATGCAGGCGCACGCAGAGTTCCAGAGCCCCGCCGAGAGCGTCTAGGTGAGACTGCACCCCACTCCCACAAACACATGCGCCACTACACTACACTATACTGCAGCCCCCCCCCCCTACATACGCACACTATACTGCACCCCTCCCCCAAGTAGACACGCACGTACCACGGATACACATACTTGTAAGGAGAGATGTCGATATTGAATACAGTGAATGAACTACATTTTTTCTAAGTATAATCAGATTAAATTATATCATTACCTCCAAAATTGTCAATTGTACTAAAGAGGTTTAGTTACCATAATTTCCGTAATCTAATTCAAACTAAAGTTGAAATTCAACTACATAAACGAAATATGGACGGATTCAACTCGGCTAGGCAACGTTCGGGAGATTACGACACAAAATCTCGTCAGCTATACCTGAAAACCTGAAAACATTAAGATTGTACAATAAATGCGTGTTGCCAGTGATGACTTATGGATCTGAGACGTGGTCCTTCACTGCTGGCTGTCTGAGAAACGCACAAGGTCGCTCAGCGAGCTATGAAGAGGGAAAGATATGGAATCCCGCACGGAACAAGTATTTGTATGGCCTACAAGTAATTGTTCCGGGGCTGGATGTTTGTCCCTGTGCAATTTATGTATGTTACTCCTATTGTGGAAGTAACGTATTTTAAGAAAACAATTTAAAAATATGCCTATAAAACATTCTCTTCTGCTTTTTTTGAGATAGTTTTTTTATATAGGATAGAATGACAAACGAGCACACAGTCCACCTGATTGTAAGTGGTTGCTGTGGCCCATAGACATCTACATCTATCCTCGATTAAGAATAAAAATGCAGGTGCGTTGTCACCCGCGAGAACTAAGATGGAATGCCTCGTTTCCAGTAAAAAAGGGTCTCCGGTTCTCTACACTCACCTTGCGAAACACAACAGCATTAAGCTGCTATTTTACTCTGTGAGAGCGTGGTCCTTCCCCGGTCGAGCCGACCCATTCGTGCTACAACTATACTACTAATATAACTGCACCGTGGCTCTACCACGTAATAAAATAGTAAATATGATTTATTACAAATGTTTGAATAGAAAGTTTAAAAAAAAAAACTGTCTATGTTTCAGATGAAATCGCGGAAGCGACTTACACGTAGGCGACGGACAACATATTTATTAAAAATATATCAGTATAAGTAATCACTTAGGAAACTTAAAGAATTTATTTTTTGCGCATTTTGACATTTCCTTTTATTTTAAAACGTTAGTACAATTCGAATTGTGATTTTTGTTATGCCAATTTTGTATTTTTAAAACCGATCACTCGGTTGTAACTTTGATTTTTGACGTTTATTTTTAATCGTACGCCATTTTGAATTTCCTTTTTTTTTTGTCGATGTCAATATATTTTGCTGTTTTGGCGGGAAAATCAATTACGGGGAAGGATAAGACTTAATAGTTGTTTTTCTTATATTTTTATGTTGGGAGAATTTGAGATATTTAAAAAAAATATTGCAGATTGTTTAACACAATGTAAAAAAAAACTTGTATTCATTTACTTAAAAATTACTTGAATTATTTTTATTAAAAGGTAAAGTTCTATTAGTTAATTTACTTGTTTTGTTTTGTATTTATTTGACTGAACTGACTTATAAATATATATTTATATATCTATCCATTTTTGATTCTTTAATTAATAACAAGACCCCATCAACGCATTATAATATTTGTATCAGCATTTAAAACTTAATATTTACTGCATATAATTCCCAACTTCTCCCAAACACAAAATATCGGAATTTATAGAAACATCGCAGACTGTGAAGGCGTGGATTTGATTGTGTACAATAAGATGGCAGCCAAATTTATTTAGCTATATATTTAAAATAAAAATACTGCAATATAGCATTTTATATTCGATTTTTCGATTTAAGTATTTCGTATTTCGGTGGGTCGTTAAAATGGTACTTTATAAAGTTTGCATGTGAAAATTATGAGAAAAAAAAGAACTTTAATCCCATTCAAATTATAGCTTTATCATTTTTATGACAAAATAGTTCTTTAATGATTTATTAAAACTACTTTTACAGATTTTATCGCACACCTTTTTTAGCGCCCGTGGTCACGGGGATTCCCCGATGCTGGCAACCCGAAATTTCGAGTATTAAAAATAAAATAAACGCGATGAAATCTGTAAAAGTAGTTTTAATCTATTTTGTTATTCTTGTAATGAGTCTAGGAACCCAGCTTTTTTATTTATTGCGTTCGGAGTATTTAAGTTATAATCTGTCGAATTGTCGACCCGCCCCGACTACACCTGGGTATGATCTTATTATTATGACGTTGTTTATATTTAAAATATTCAAAGACCATTTATGTTATCGATATTTTGGTATTTTGAAAAACAAATCATGGTATTCGTAGTATCCGAATATAATTCGGGATTGGCTTCGCTTGGGTAGATCTATCGTAGTATCTACAAAGACCATTTGTTCCATAAATTATTCGATTTTTCTCTCAAGTTATTCGGATAAAATATAGTATATAACTCCCAGCATCGCTTTCATATCGGTTAATGAAATTTTATTACAATCGGTGCGGCCATTTCTAAGGTTAGCCCGAACAAATAGACTGGCAAGTTTCCAAAATAGTTTAATTATATCTTAACTCCATGCACATAACTTCAATTGTACAACATGTAACAAAAACCCTGGTTTCCGTTAAGTGCGTTACCAGAATCAGTATCCCAGCGTAGACATTTTTTTTTAAAAAAAAAAAAAATACATTTAAAAAAAATAATTTTAATTAAAAAAAAAAGAATTTGCAAATTGTATGTGGTTTTATTATCTCTACATTGGCCGAGGAGTAAGAGGATTGTCAAAGACCTCGCATTACCGATACTCGTGTGAGTTAGAAGAAAAAAAGAACCACATACAATTTGCAAATTAATTTTTTTAAATTAAATTATTAAAAAAATATGGTCGAGTTGTCTGAAATAAATTATTTCTATACGCTTGAATACTGATTCTGATAACGCACTTAACGGGAACCACAGGGTTTTTGTTACTTGTTGTATAAGGCGAGAGCTATACACGAAGAGTTCAATTTTACCTACTTATATGTTTTATTTTATTCATCACAACCATTCTCAAAGGATGTAACATTTTAACGACGCACTGCGATAATTAGTTAAGAAATTAGAATAGATTAGACGCGAGTATTATTACGAATATATTTATGTATGAGAGTATCTTGTATGTATAAAAAATATTAACAGTAGTTCGAATTTTGACCTTTTTACTGTAAAATCAAGTAGCGGCCTATAAATCTCTCTTCACGGATAATGGACCTCTCATTTCTAAGAGGCTAATATATAATTTAAAAAAAATTGCGTGTAAGTGCACACACGTATGAAGTGAAACTTCTTTAAGACATATCTCATTGTTCTTTCGTTTAATACCAGCTCGTATCTGACTACTGCTCCTAGAATTAATAATTGTGGAAAACAGTTTTTAATTTGGAAGACTTATATTGTTTTATTTGGAATGATAATGATAATACATTCATTAAAATTGAATCATGTGACTTTCAAATAAATTTGTCGGTACGATACGCGCGCCATCTAGTGTAAGTTAATTGTACTATGTCTATAACCTTCGCGCGAGTGCAAGGTGCATGCAATAAAGTTGACAAAGTTTTATCGCAATCTGATGAATGGTATGGCAGCGCATATAATACGAACAAACAAACATTAATTTTTATATATTAGATTTTATATAAGTAAGTTAATTAATAACATACTCATGCACCCTCAGAACGTGATGTTTTTTTTTTTGTTATCATTCTTAATATTTCCACTTCGTCTATTAAAAAGTTTCACTTCAAAAATATGATATTTTTAAAATTTTAAAACACAAGAAAATCCCCAAAAATATAATTAGAGTTAGTGTTAGCGGTTTTACATACAATGTTAAATTTAAGTATTGTATTTTTAGCAATATACTCAAAATTATACACCTATTTAGTTAGTAAGTAAAGTTGTATTAGAGATTAACATGTAAAATTAGTTCAAAGTTAATTTCGAGATGAAATTCAAAATTAACAAAATTTGGGTAACATAGTAAATATGGCCTAGACTCAAAATTTGACTTGTGTGAAGTTTGAGTCTTAACTCGAAATCATCTCTGAATACCGGTCTACACAAAAAATAATATGGCTACTCTATTTATTTTCTGCATTAGCGCGCGAAGGTGAGAGTTTTTGGCGGGAACTTGACCGACGACGGACTGTCGCTCCTGTTTTGTCGCTAGAATAATGTTTTTAAGTGGATTTTAATTCGTAAAAGTCATGTGATTTTGTGAATTGAGTGTCTGCACGTGTGAACTATTAGAGAAAACGACGAAAAATGTGC